CCAGCGTGGGTGCCTGTTGTGCAGAGGCCCCGCTCCGGGAGAGCCGCAGGGCCCCTTCCCAGGAAGCAGGGCAGGGCTCTCCTTGGTGGAATCTACATCCACTTAAGTCATGTCCAATTGCAGATGACTCTGGAGAGGACTTCTACAGACAGGGAGGCCGGCTTGGTGGCCAAGCCACATAAGTCCCCTCCACTGCTACCAGGTGAGCACAATGTGCTTGTAAGTGACAGCGCCTCCACAGTGGTCCTGCTCCGCCCATCGCCTCACAGAGGAGCCACCGAGGGACAGCTGCTGCTGGAACGTGCTGCACCTGATGGCGGACAGAACCTGATCGCTCTCCCAAGGCCCTTCCAGACCTGTGAGTACTCTCCTCTTGCCCGGGAAGCATGGGCCTAGCTCTTCCGCGGCCCCGAGGGGAGCAGCTGCCATGTTGGGGCCACAGAAAGGCAGCTGGGCATGTCTCTGAGCTGTGGCTGCGAGCAGACAGAGGACACGGTGAGGATGTGCCGAACGCCAGGCTGATGCACAGCAGGTCCACGTGGGACCCTCCCTCCAGCACTGCAGCACCTGCATTGCTACTAGAAACGATGCACACCTGCTCTGCCCAGCACCGAGCCACTAGCACTGCTGCTGTGCAAAACTTGGGTTAGAGTGGAATGAAATGTGGAATCTGGTCCCTGCTGCCCTGGGTGCCCACTGGTCTGTGTCCTGGTGGCTGCAGTGTGGGTAGAGCGGCCAAGGTAGACACAAGCCCCCGCATAGGACCAAGGTGAAGGAACACACCCGATGGACAGGCAGCGTGGTCAGGACCACGGGCAACGTCCAGGCTGGCTGTGCCTGTGGCGGTTCTGCCAGGCCCAGGATCGCCTTTGTGGCTCTGTGGAGGAACGCTGGCCACAGACCCTGCAGAGAAGTGGTCTCCCGGTGGCAGTTGTGCACAGAGTTCTGGAGATGACTGCTCTCCTGTCCTATCATTAACTTGCTCTTCCAAGACACGTCGATTACAGCGCAAGTTTCACGTTAGTTGTCTTAAACAGTGTGCTCTCAGAAGCCACCTCTCTCCATACCCAGAGAAGCCCTCTTCCAAGCAAAGCCGACCTACCACAGTTTCAGTGAGTGGCAGTGGAGCCCGGGGTTGGGGGATGCAGCACGCAGGGAGGATGCGGGGAACTGCGCGTCCTGCCAACAGGTGCCACGTGCTCAGGAGCCACCAGCTGCTCAGCCTTACCCTCCGTGAGGCGGATCTGCTGGTGAGCCAGTGACCAGAGGTGAATGACACGTCCCGGATGGATCCTACCACTGGATGGGACACTGTAAGTTCGAACAATTCCCCAGGAGCCTGGGAGTGGCCCTGTCCTCACGTAAGTTCTGTTGGGCTCTCAGAACCTTGACTGTCCTCACGAGAGGCTCAAACTGCTTGTGCTCCAACAGGCCCCGAGTGCTCATGAGGCCACAGGGGATCTACCTGCCACGTCTGCTCTTTCCAATGTCCCCACGGCCCATGCACCGTGCTGCACAACACCATGCCACAGCCAGGTCCCACCTACCCTGCCTGGAGGGGTCCTCACACTCCAGGACTCACGTCTGCCTCGTCGGTCCCTTGGGCTCCCAACACCACTCACTGAGGGTTTCCTAGCAAAGCAGCCAACATGGCCTTAGCTAAAGACTCACATAAAATGCCTAACACAGGGTATGCGGATGGTTTACTCTGTATTAACTGACCTCCTTGGGGGGGACCACATAATGCACAACACTTACAATTTTTACAAGTAGTTAAAACTGATGCTTTGCCACCTGATGTGGCACAGGCGCCACAGGAGGTGGAGCAGACGGTGGCGCTGCTGAGCAGCCTGCTCTGTCCCACGTCACATGCCAGCACCAGGCTGGTCTCCCTGATGACCTCTGCAGCCGTGGCAGGCAGGATGCCAGTGCTGGGGGCAGAGACAGACACGGAGTCCGTGTACCCCTCGGAGCCCAGCAGACCAGCCAGAGGGACCAGGATGAGGCCAGCAGATCCAAAGCAGAAAGGCCGAGGGACACCAGGGGCTGTAGGTGTCCCATAGGGGTCAAGAAGAGGCCAGACGATCATGCTCTGTTGTGCTCCATCTAAACATCTGCCACTTGGGGGGATTATCTACTTAAAAAGGCATTTTGAATAATTCCTTACCTATTCTGAGGAATTTTGATGGGAATGTAATAAAGAATGAAGGACCCCCTTTATTTTACCTGTCAGATTCGAGACTGATACCTGTTTACCCTGGAACTTCTGGGGCACGCTGCTAGCTCTGAGGGTCTTGATGCTCTCTAGTGACTTTCCAAAGAATGCAGCAATTCCCAGGAGAACCTATCACCAATCCACACAACGAACAGCCCCTCAGGCGCACGACCATTAGCCCTCATCGTTGCTGGTGGTCTGACTTCACAAGTTATGCACGAAGGCTGCTTCAGAAAAAGGTCGACTTAGCGCAGGACATTTCTGACTCTGGCCTCCTCCCCAGTCCTGTCCCACCTTCCTGTGCAGCCACCTCCATCCGTCCTCGCACCCCCCTTTACCCACAGCCCCGACACCCGGGGCGGGTGTGCGTGGGGCCCTGTCTTGCTTTCTGTTCAGGGTGAAACCTGGGCAGATCCTGGACCTGAAGACAGCGGGATCAGGTGCCCCCTGAGGGCACTGTGATGACCTGTGGGGCAGGAGCCTCTTTCTTTAAGAAACAAGGCCGGTCTCGGAGATCAGGCGGAGCTGCTGAGGGTGGTGGGCCAGTCTGAAGGCGGTGTGCAAAGCACTCTGGGTGGTGGGGGCACGAGCGTGTGGCCAGTGAAGAGATGCTGCCCGTGCGTCGGCAGACCCAGTCGGCGGCCAAGTCCCTCCAGACACGCACGCCCCGAGGCACCTGGCCTCCTACTGCCACAGCCACGGTCAGGCCCACATGGGACGCTTCCTCCCTTTGATAAGAAACAGCAAACCCTATAATCCTTCAAATGAGTCATCTTCCACCTCAACCCAGCACATTCCCCTCAGCCTGAGATGCCAGCGTCCCCAGAGGCCCCCGTGGCCCCGCGTACTTCATGCCCCGCCATGGCCAATCCACCCAGTCCAGCAGCTCAGTGTCCTCAGCCGAAGGGGCAAACTCAGAGCGCACGCCTGGTGACAGTTCTGACCTGAGTCTGGACGGGTGCCCTTTTTTGTGATATTTGTTCTACCAGGGAGGAAAGGCCACATCCGTGGCTCCTCTGACCTTTTCCTAACCGCTGGGCGGCTCTGGATCAATCGGCTCTGGTTTTCAAGGGCCTTTCTTCACCCTCCTGCTGGCCACTCCCCGTCAGAGCGGAGGCCTCTGCGTGAGCAGGGAAAAGGAGGCTTTCCAACCCCCGGTGGCTTAGCAGGGATGGGGGAGTGTCCTCCAGCCTCTGCGGCCCCTGGGCTGTTTTGAGTATCCCGGATAGTGGTGGACACAGGGACAGAGACCACAGCAAGGACGGCACACCTCCCGCCCTCCAGAGGGGCGCAGGGCACACAGGACCCTGATATCAGACTGCTTAGCTCTGTAACCTCCAAGTGAAGAAAGACCCCAGCAGAATGAAATAAAGGGTGCTACAGTCCCCATTGGAATGCCTGCTTTTAACAGCAACGTGCGGGACACAGCCTCTCCTCTAGTCAGGTGAAGCTGTCACTACCGGGAGACACTGAGCACTGAGGAAGACCCCCTGCAGCCAAATATTCACACACACGCACGCTGTGCGGCCTCGCGTGGTGAGCTCCATCAGCTTAATTAAAGCAAAAATGGGCTTTCAACAGCACATAACTCATCTCTGCCCGTCAGAGGGAGACACAGGGCGATCAAAAGCCTACTCGGTTCTGTCCTTAAGGAATGATTTCCTCCCGAGGGTGAAGATTAATACGTGGCGGTGTCTGGGAGTGAGACCGCTAACGGGAAGACAGTGACCTCAGGGCTGCTGTGCCTTCATTCTGTCCTTATCGTGGCTCTCACATGTGGACTCTCCCTGGCGTGGGGCTAGTGGGTGGCCTTGCCAGCTGCATACCTCCTGTGCATGTGGAAGTTGACAAATCCCAAGGTCACAGGAGAACCCAGAACTGGGAGAACACACCTGGGAGCAGCAAGAGCTCTCAGCCCCCGTCTCAGAAACCAGGAGCCAATGCCAGCACCCACCTGCCACAGACCTCACCTCGGAGAGAAGCCCACCCTCGTGCCGAAGCCATGGGACTTGCCTCCCACTCGGTGACACCCAGTCACACAGCTCCCAACCTCAGCGCCACGCTGCTGGCCCTGGGCCAAGGTTTTCTGGCCGCACTGTCACCCCAGGACCCCCAAGGGCCCTGGACCCCAGCCCCATGAGCACAGCCAGGAGCCACCATGGCCTCTGGGTCCATAAAAACCAAGAGATGTTAACAATTCAGTAAATCAAGCAGAATAACTAGTTTGCAGACTGATAAGGACAAATTTAAAATGAGCTTCTGTAGTTTTTACGTATGCGATGAGAAAAAACTGGCTGAAATACAGCCGGAAATAGTCAATCAGGAGCTTGACAAGCTCAGCCTGCAGACGCTGAGGGAACAGCCCTTCAGCCGTTCCTCCCGGGCTGTTTTCTTCCTTAGGGGCTGACGACAGAACCTGTACGCTGTGGCTAGCAACTGCTTCTATAAAGTTCTGAGTGACTCCACTTTACCCTAATTCCAAGAAAGAGCCCCTTTTTTGACAATAAAAATGGTAACCAGTGACTCTGACGACACTGCAATCACCTGTGGGAACAATGCCCTTCGTTATTTTTCTTAGAACAATTCAACAGCATAACTTCCGATGAGGTGGAAGCGCAGTACCTACCTCTACGACGGACTTGGAATCCAGTCGGAAGTTGAAATCGCCAAAGACAAAGTAGGAATTGACGACACTGCAATCACCTGTGGGAACAATGCCCTTCGTTATTTTTCTTAGAACAATTCAACAGCATAACTTCCGATGAGGTGGAAGCGCAGTGCCTACCTCTACGACGGACTTGGAATCCAGTCGGAAGTTGAAATCGCCAAAGACAAAGTAGGAGACTTTCTCGAATCGCTGATCAACGATTCTGGGGAGGAAGGGAGACGTGGTTACTGATACGCTGACGCCCACACCGCTCACCCACCAGCAGCACCTCCACCGCACTCCCCACCGCGCACGTCCTCCTGTCTCCTGCTGCAGGGAAACCCCAGCGGTCGCTCTTTGGCACCCCCAAACTCAGCACAGAGATCACCAACCAGCACACATCCACCAAAGAGCACTCAGTGCCGTCCCACACAGACATGCATGTGCTGCCAGGACGTCCAGGAAGAGGACAGGCAACTCTCACGTGGTGTCCTCACGGGCGGGGCCAGGGCAACACGAGAACAGGACAGCGTGCCTGACTCGGGGGTCCGTGCAAGTGCACGGGCTGCAAAGATTCCTGTAAGTGGAACCTCCAGGACCGCGGGCGAGCACTGCCCAGTGATGCCTCCGCGGGGCCTTTGGGCGGGCTCTCCCGGCAGGAACATGTGCTCAAGCCTTTTCTGAAAGTGTTGGACATTTCAAACTTGTAAAGTAACAGATCTTTCCACTGAAAGACACAAACACGGCAAACATCTGCCGTCCTGCGCAGACACGAGCCTTCGGGGAAGCCAACACCCACTGACGCACCGGAGCCCGGACACTCCTCTCGCCCCACACCCGGTGAACACGGCTTGCTTCTGGGACCCCGTGTGCGGGCACCTCCTCCTCAAAGGGGATTCTGAGAAAAACCAAAGCAAGGCCAAGGCCAGGCTCCGGAGTGATTTTGCCGAAGGGTCGACTGGAGACAGGAGGACTGAACACTTCCTAGAAAGAAGTGCTTTGATGTCAAGACATTCATCTTGTTGTCACTGGTCAGCATCTGCCTATTAAAAAGCACAGGAGCACACACATCCCTGACAAATTCAGTGTAGAAAATGATAAAGACGTTTGTGTTAACAGACCAGAGCTTGTTCTCTGTTTCCCTCTTCCCACCCTTGGGCTGCACTTGGCACTGGTGACTACTAAGGTTGGCGTAAACATTTAACGCACGATTGTGGAAGTGAGGACACGTTTCAAGTGCAGTGTCTTACATAGGTGTGCGTGTGGTACGTACCTGTGTCACATCTATGGAAAGCTGACTTCTCAGCATGAATTCTTCCTCTACTCACATGAGCGCTAGCAGACTAATTACAGGGTGGACGGCCGCTGAGGGATCCGTACACAGAGCACACAAGAGTGAGCACGGGCCCAGCACTTCTCAGTTACTTCCTGAGCCAAATACATTTGCTCAACCTCAGCTCTGAAGAGTTCAGCCTACTCTAGTACGATATGCTGAAGACAACTCCCAAGCTCTGGGCTGGAAAAAGAAAGTTCCTCCTGTTTTCCGCAATCAACCAACATTCAGAGGGTGGGCAAAGCCACTGGACATCGCTGCCACCACGCTCAGTCCCCTGCGGGAGGCGGGCCTGGGGGTTACGCCAACGCAGCTGCGGAGGGCGGCTGTGGCCCACAGGACCCACGTTCAAGGGCAAGCAAGAATGCCATGACAAAAAGCACGTGCAAGGCCCCACGGCGGCCCCCGTGCAGTCACACGTGGATGTGTGTCCGAGCTGGGAGCGTCCCAGTTGTTTGCCAGGTGCGGTATCGAGCTTAACTGACCTGACCGGCAGAAGCAGACACCACGCCAAGCGTTCATTACACAAGCAAATGATAGCTTGGCTAATGAACAGAACTCATTTCAAGGCAAATTCTTTTAAAAAACTAACAAATCTCAGATTTAACATCTGACTGAATAAACTTCGAAAAGTTCTGAGTGTTCAGAGAGGGAGAGAAAATGCTGTGCCCTGGGCCCCTCCTTCCCACGTCGTCCCACCGGCAGGCCCACTTCGACCCGGGGACCCAACTGCTTCCTCTGTCTAGAATCCTCTGAAACCATCATTAGAAACCTAAACTGTGCCACACTTCCTGGCCCTGCTCTTTTTTATATAATAGCCCCAGCCAATTAATAACCAGCAACATCTCTGAAGGTCACGCGGCAAGATGAAGGGCTGTCACGGGCCAGGCAATCACCTGAGTGCCCAGCCGGCTGCCCTCACTACACTCACTTTTAATTTCAATATAGTGCCATTTGGACCAGGAAAAAAAAGAGTTGTTTTAAAATTAATTACCTTGTCAGGAGCTATTATGATTAAAAAGTAGGTCCACATCAATATCATCTGCCTAATTCAAAAAGAGAATTACAAGAAGTGCCATAAAAATCAATTTTTTATGCCTTGAAAATGGTGTCTCTTTCTGTTTTGACAGGTGATTTCATTGTGTGACAGCACCAGGCTGGGAGGAGGTGCTGGGCCAGGAGTGGCCTGCCGACGGTGCATCGAGCAACAATGTGGTCCCACGATGGCACGGCGGATCAAAGACCTCCAGAAGAGAGCTGCAGATGAGATGCTCGCAAATGTCAACATTCCAGCTGCGGTCATTCTCTAACGGAATGGGAACCGGGAGTGGGCTGCCCCAACACCCCGTGAGGGTCTCAGCGCCGCAGAGCAGGCTGCAGGAGCGCGTCCCCACACTGTCCTGCTGGAGCCATAAAAATAACAGACCTGCATTCTTTATGCCACAGGAGCTGGCATGGTTTAGAGAGCAAACCTGGCCACGAGACGTCAGTCATATCTCCTCCAGCAACTCTAACACACCAAGAACCTGGGTTTTCCCTTTTTTAATTTTTTAACCACTGAATGTGATGCTAAAATCTTTGGCACTGCACTTTTAAAGGGATAGTTTGTACAATGAGGAACTGACTAAAGTCGGTTTGTTTCTCTGCTCAATTTTAAACCGCAAAAGCATCAACACCTGGTTAATGGACACAAAGAATGATTACGTTTTATAATGATGAATATGCCAATTATCCTGATTCGATCACTACATATCGTACACAAGTACTGACAGTTCACTCTGTACCCCCCAAATATGTATAATCAGTTAAGCTTTAATAGCAAAAGCATCAACACCTGGTTAATGGACACAAAGAATGATTACGTTTTATAATGATGAATATGCCAATTATCCTGATTCGATCACTACATATCATACACAAGTACTGACAGTTCACTCTGTACCCCCCAAATATGTATAATCAGTTAAGCTTTAATACAAAGCAAAAACAAAACCCAAAAGCAAACACATCTTTTAGAATTAATTATCTAACCACTGAAAAGTTTCTCTTATTCTTAAAACATCTCATTAAGGGGTCTGCTGTGGATGTCTCTAAGCCATTTTAATTACCCCCCACCCCCCAGTAAGTACACTGCCCCTGTGCTGTCACCTTTCCACGACCTCGCTATTCACTCTACCCTGCCCTGTGCTGGGCACAGGCTCTGTCTGAAGCCCCCAGGGCTGGCCTCTGGCACCACAGGACGGGCAGTAGAGGGTCTGAGACACAGCTGAAGCAGAGACCGAGGGGGTGCATCAGCTGCAGCAGCAATATGAGGTGCATCATCATTGGGAGCAGTATAAGTCTGGGAGCCCCTGCAGCCACCCAGCTGGACATCAGGTACGGTCCCAGCAACCAGTGTGCTTGAGGGGCCTCCTTGACTGGCCAACTGACTCCCATACAGCACACTCCCTGCATGAATGTTTCTCCTTCCTAGCACCCCCAAAGTTCCCTGACTTCCACCCAGCACCTTCCTGCAAACTGCCTTCAAGCCGGTGTCATTCTGAGGCCACTGACTTCCACCCGGTCCTTGACACCAGCACAGCCGGGCTGCCCCAGGCCCCAGCACACAGCTCCTGCAGCAGGGCAGGGGCCTCTTGTCCTTCATCCCCCAGACCCAGGCCAGGCAGTCCAGGTGGTGCCAGTGCTGAGCCCCAGCGTATCTCAACTGCAGCGGGGGAAGCAAACTATACAGCCACCTGTGAGGAGAATGGCCTGGCACAGCCACTGAGGCTGAGACCATGACGCAAAGTGGCACGACGCTACTGCCTCGATGAGCAGAACATGGAGAGAGTATTCAGGCCAAGTGAGACTTCAGTCAGTGAGGTGCAGATTACAACACCCACCACCTCCCAACCTTCACCCACGCCAACACTGCTCACGCTTCTATGATGCCACCTCCCATCTCAGCTGGTTCGTGGCCTGAATGCAGTGCATAGCTGTCAGAATGACACCCAGATGCCCTGCTATGGGCTGAACCATGCCCTTAATTCATATGCTGGAGTCCGACACCCTGAGGTCCCTCTACTGGAAGCAGGGCTCTTGATGAAGTCCTTAAGGTTAAATGAGGCCAAGAGCTCGCCCCACCCTCCACCTGCCAAGGACCCAGCAAGACAGTGGCCATCTGCAGGCCAGCAAGGGCCTCACCAGGACCGAGCCCTGCAAGAGCCCTGACCTTGGACACGCAGCCTCCAGAGCCGTGAGGGATGAACACCTGCGGCTTGTGTCCTCAGCACTTCATCGTGAGCCCAAGCTGTCAGGGTGGCTCCCCAATGCTTATCAACTTAAGACGCAGGCTCCTTCTGACACACAGCCCAGCACCCACACACAGGCGAAGCTGAGTGGGAGCCCACCTGTCCACCCGCAGCAGAGGGCGGTGCCCAGCCTCCTTCTGGCAGTCGCCGTGTTCTAAACAGCATCACCACCTGAGTGTGCTCCTTTCTCACGGAGAACCATGTCTTCAAACTCCACTCAGATGCCAACACCACTTTGTGACTCAGGCCCCCGGCAGGAAACACAGCAGCCAGACCCAGGGAGCAGACCGCGACTGCAGGACCTTGGTACCCGAGAACGCACGAGCAAAGCCCAGCTGCACCAACTGGCTGGGTGCAGATGGGTGAGGGCGAGGGTTGGCGAGGATGTCCTGCCTGTCAGCAAATCCGGAACCACCCCATCTCAACAGGACTGCGGGGAAGCTCAGGTGGCAGATCTTGTGATGGTGCCACAGCTGAGGTGCAGCCCCCAGAGCTGCGCCAGCTCCGCAAAGCCAGAGCTGTGGCTGTAGGTCGAGGGGTACACAGCATGCCCCTCGTGCAGCACTCAAAATATCACCTGTAGACATGCACACGAGCAAA